TACAGGCCACAGGAAATGACATGTTTTAAGCTGTAACAAACTCCTCCTACAAATTTTTTCGTATCAGCACCAAATTTGGGTGGTGTCATCTGAAAGCTTTAGTGATGATATATTGTGAAGATCTAGAGTTTTCACTGAGGGGCGTGTCTGTGGCGGCATGACAAACCTCAACGCTTCGCCATGGAACAGAAAGTCCTTATAACTCAACCACACATTGTCCGATCTGCCTGAAACTTCACATGGTTGATATAAGTCCTCTCCTGAACACATCTACATAATAATATTGAGTCTGTCATAGCGCCACCTGCTGGCAGATAGTAGTTTGGCTTACAAATCAGCCCCACAATGTCTGATCTGCCTGAAACTTTACATGGTTGTTTAAAATCCTCTCCTGAACACATGTACATAATAATATTGAGTCTGTCATAGCGCCACCTGCTGGCAACAGAAAGTTTGGCTTATAACTTAGCCACACAATGTCTGAACTGCTTGAAACTTCACATGGTTGATTAAATTCCTCTCCTGAACACATTTACATGCCAATATTGAGTCTGTCATAGCGCCGCCTGCTGGCAGAAGGTAGTTTGGCTTACAACTCAGCCCCACAATGTCTGATCAGCCTGAAACTTCACATGGTTTAGTAAAATCCTCTCCTGAACACATCTACATGCCAATATTGAGACACAGTCATAGCGCCACCTGCTGACAGGAGAAAGTTAGGCATAAATCTGTGATTTTCTCTGGTTCTTTTTATATATCGGCTTAAGTTATTATTGTTCGCTGTTCTTTGTCATCCGGAGGCCACCGGCGGCGGTGAGCCCGGGTGCGAGGTCCCTATCATCGCTGCTTGCAGCTTTAATTTTTATTTATTTCTTTAGTTATTTTCTTTTAATCAAAGTGATTTGTAATTGGACAAACTAAAACAATAAAGTCAAGCTGAAAAGAGTCTTATATTTATTATTTTTTTTTATTAGTTTTATTAAATTTTTATCTTTCATTTTTTTTCATTTAGTTTTTTTTTATCAAATTGATTTGGAATTGGACCTTTTCGGCTTAGTCTCTTTATTAATCTGGGGTCGCCACAGCGGAATGAACCGCCAACTAATCCAGCATTAACTAAATCCAGCTGCAACCAATCACTGGGAAACACCCACACACACTCATTCACACACATACACTAGGGACAATTTAGCTTGCCCAATTCACCTGTACCACCTGTCTTTCTTGCTGTGAGGTGACGCTACCCACTGCGCCACCGCATTGCCCCGGAGTCTATTTTATATTTATTCATTCATTAAATGATAAATAATAAATTAATTAATTAATTTATGCTTTTAGATATTTTAAAGTGATTTGAAATTGGACAAACTAAAACATTAAAGTTAAGCTAAAAATGAGACTTTTTTATTATTTTATTTAGTTATTATGTTTTTTACTTTTATGTTATTTTATTATTATTTTAAATCAAAGTGATTTGCAATTGGCCAAACTAAAACATTTTCATGTAATAAAATGGTTAAAAATGTAATTGTGTATGTTGTAATGAAAGATACACTTTTGAGCTGCATGTGTGAAAAGATCACAACAAGTGTAATCTGCTCATCAAATTGAATCTTTAAATGAATACAAAGCAGTCTTTGTGATTTTCACACATTGCCTTGTCATTTCTTGTAATGATTGCTATTGGCATTGTTAGAATTAATGAAAAGTGGCTGGACAACTGATGAGTATGGATATTTCATATACTTTTCTATAATTAAATACTTGTGTATTCTAATATACAAAGCATATCAGGTCACATTACATACATATTTTTAGTTACATATTTCATTTTTCATAAAAGTAAATTACATTTATTATCATACCACTTCACCTTAATTTATGACCCAATAAAAGCCATCTTCACTGAATGAACTTTATTCTGAGCAGAAGAGAGCTGCCCAGGGGTGTTACTGACTTCCTTCCAGGGGGCAACATTTGTTGTGAAGGTCATGAAATGCATGAGAGACTTCAGCAGTCATTATTGCAGTGTTGTGTTTTTTCTTTTTATTCTGCTAATGGATGAAGTGTGATGCTGAGAGGCATATGGCAGTAATGATTGGATGGATTTCAACATAGACTGACAGAAGTGTGAAAACAGCCCCAGATGCCCTATTATAAACCATCATTTATAGCTTCATTTGCTGTCCTAATAGAGTTTTCTTGACTTCAGATCTGTTTTAGTCACTGGATCTGTGCGGTTGTATTTTGTTTTTTTCACTTTTCAGCTGTGTGTGTATTGGAAGTCTGCTGTTATCGTTTAGTGTGTAATTTGACGTGTTCAAGGGGAAAGCCTCAGCTGTTCATGGTGCTGTTCTGGCTTTCAGCGCTCATGTTAACTGCTGCCATCCGTGACCGTGAACTTGACTCTTTCTGCTTCGGATCATAAACCTTCTAATTTCACTCTTGTCCCATCTTTGCACCCCATGAGCTGGAGAAAATGTTACCTGTGATAACCATTTGTTTTCTTTATATCCTTAGTGCTCCATTGAACAGAATAGAGTTGTTGGGCTACATGAGTGATCTATGAATATGACGTAGTGATATGATTTTTTTATTTTCAGGGGAGATTAAAATAGCATTTTAAAAATCATCAGAATGGGTTTTAATATAAATTGTCACAAGTGACAGTTTAGCTCAGGGCTGTTCAAACTCAGTTCTGGAGGGCCAGTGTCCTGCAGAGCTTAGCTCCAACCGTAATCAAACACCCTCTTGAACCAACTAATCAAGCTCTTACTATATATTCTAAAAAACTTCCTGGCAGGTGTGTTGAGGTTGGAGCTAAACTCAGCAGAACACCAGCCCTCAGAGGACCGAATTTGGACAGCCCTGGTTTAGCTGGTTCATTCTGATGTGGTGACCCCTTATAAAGCAGGGAATAAGCTGAAGGAGAGCGAGTGATGTTATGATGTTAAATTATACTTAAAAATGTTAATATAACTCTTTCCATGATTTACTTCATTTCTATGCACAATGACTCAAATGTATACAGAATAAAATCATTTAAAACAAATATTGACATGCACTGCCTGGCAAAAATAAAAATGCTACAAAAAATATTATGTTGGATTTTTATTGCAGTGATGAATATATATTTTAGCTTCCTATATGTTCACCTTTTCTTTTAAGTAAGCTTTTTATCGGGCTGAAATAAAAAAAAAACAATGCTAAAAACTTTTTCATGCATAAATTGACTCATAGTTGAACTAAACCTGAACATCTTTGGGATGTGGATGGCATTTTGAAGAAATAAAAATCTATAAAAAAAAAGACATTCTGAAGTATTTTTGGCCAGGCAGTGTACACACACAGAAATAAAGGTACAAAATCTGTCACTGGGATGTTACCTTTTTTAAAAGGTACCCTTTTGTACCATACAGGTGGACATTAGTACCTTTATGGTTCACTATCCGCATTTTCACTGTTGGGCCAGTGTGAGCCAGGGCTTTTATCAGGCTGTGGTTGAGCAGTGAGGCCGAAATCATGTCGCGTTTCCACTGTCGGGCTAGTAGCTTTCAGCGCGTCATGCAAACCTCGCCCCCAGTACATCCCCCAAATCAAATGTCACGCAACCCGCCCACTTCAGCGGGAATCAGGCAGATAAAGCACACATCACATTACCACGAAACCATTCAAATAAAGACAACCGAAACAAACAACAGACACGTTACTGTACAGCATTACATTATATGTGTATACGCACATGCCTGTGTGTTTCCATTCATCATATTCATTTACTCGCAGACCGACTGTTGGCATCGTAGATCGAGTGGTCTCGCCACTAACAGAGGGACCCAGCGCAGTGAACGCACCCATCCATAATATAAAACCACAGAAATTATCAGTTAATATCGCGGTAGATAATGTATTTTATATCATCCTCGTTTAGATAGACGCTGTCAAATAATTAGCCCAAATGCTCCGGAGACACCTGAAACATACCTTTTTAATAGGTGATTTCCCTTTATTTAAAGATTTTGCATATTATTCTGTGATCTTAGAGTAAAGGAAAGTGTTAAGTGATTCAGTACATAAGAGCAAGTAATAAAATGTAGCCTTTATTTCGTTGCGCTCAGCAGCTTTTCACTAATAAAGCTCTACATGTATTTAAAATTTTATTTTTTAAATTTTACCACGTCATATAAAAACATACACACTTGTTTTAGGACACAGAACACATTTTGAATTTGCAGTTTTCCCCGACGTGTTTGTAAAGCAGCGCTGCAGGACTGCGTGACAGAAAAAAAGGCAGCCTAGTTTCTGATTTCACTCACCCATTAATGCTTTGCTTGCACGATTTGATTAATACCATCGTATCCAAATACTTTATAAATAAGATTTAAATAAGACTGGGGGGTCTCCAACCACCATTTGTGTGCAGCATCCACTTGGATGCGACTGCAACCACAGGACAACGACGCCAGTGCGCTCACCACACACCAGCTATTGGTGAAGTTGAGAGACAGTGAATACAGCTAATTCGGTGGATGGGGATGATTGAGAGGCCATGATCGTAAGGGCCGATTGAGGGACTTTGGCCAGGACACTAGGTTTACACCCCTACTCTTTACGAGGAGTGCCAAGGGATCTCTAATGACCACAGAGAGTCAGGACCTCAGTTTAACGTCACACTGACAGTGTAGTGTCCCCTTCACTTTTACTGGGGCATTAGGACTCGTATAGACTGCAGGTTTACTAACACCACTTCCAACAGCAACCTAGTTTTCCCATGTGTTCTCCCATCCAGGTACTGACCAGGCTTAGCCCAGTGAGTAACTGGTCTTGGGCTGCAGGGTGATATGTCTGATAATGGAAAATCAGAAATAATAAAAAAAGACTAACGTAAGCGCAGGTGCCGTTCAAATTATTATGTCTGTCCCATAATTGTTGGATTTGCCATTTCAAACTATACTGTAGTTTTTACACTCATTTGTTAATAGTGACTTATTTTTGTCTTTCAGGTGGACTTTCCTACCTCTTCTTTTGAAGTGCGCTTCAGCACCCCTGCTCCTGCTGAGTTCAGTCCCCAGTATGAGTTCTCCCACCTGGACCAGGTTAGCCAGAGACAGCTGCATGACGTCCTGCACAAGAAGTCCCTTTTCTGGTAAGCAGACTGCCTGAAAATTCTAAACTGCACCCTGATTTAATTAAAGGGATAGATAGTTCACCCAAAAATGAAAATAATCACTCTACAGTTGTTTCAAACCTGTTTGGGTTTGGTTTTTCTCTTTAGATTAAAATATATTCAGATAATGGTGGCTGTACATTTTTTCCCACTATGAAAATCAGTGGCTAACAAACACTTCAGGCAGATTAACTACTAAGTAAATGTTCAATTTTGGGTGAACTGTCCCCTTAATATGTTCAATATCTTTCTTTAAATATTCAAAAAAAAAAAATGTCTGCATGTATGCCTGTGTCAGAATCTAAAGTATATCTTGGTTGGAAAAATACAATATCTAAACACTTTATAATTACCATTTATATTAAACGGATTGTTCATCCAAAGTAAAGGGGACCTTTTCTTTTCTTCATTAGAACATTAAAGCAGATTATTTTTGCTGAAACTGTGGTCTGGTGATTTCACGATGCAAAACAATACAGTGAGATCTCATAAAACAAAACCAGTAACATTTTTGGGGGTATTAAAGGGGTTGGTTTACCCATCAATGAAAATGTTTATAAATGTATACCTTTGTGTTTCTTTGTAGAACACAAAATAGATATTTTGACCATTAACATTAATATTCATACCATCCTCTTCAAATTATCTTTTGTGTTTAATTTAAGAAATAAAGTCAGATAGGTTTGTAAAAAGTGAGTTGAGTAAATGATGAGAGAATTTTCAGTTTTGGGTGATTATTTTTGATTATTTTGCCTAAAATTCCTTTTGCAATGCAATACGTTGATATCTAGTCATTAAACTTATAAAAAGTTCTGCTTTTACAGGAGAAGGGTTGTTTAAGTGCAACGGCAAACTCAAATGACCAGCTCATGAAATTTCAGATTCAGCTGTCGTTACTCATCATTCATATTTTAGCGACTCGCAGCATGAAATCATTTTTCCGCTCTCAAATGAGCATGTCTGCTTGGGAACACAGGTTGAATAAGCTCAGTAGTGGATATTGAGAGGATGATCAGGCACATACGAGAGCAGACGAAACCAGCTGTTGTAGCAGTTTGTGTCAGATCCTTCCTCATTGGAGAGAGGAATAAAAGCACTCGTTGTCCATTTCCCTTTGACCTGAGCCTTTTTGCATCTTAAACTTTATATGAGAATGTGAGGAATGAATATTTGCTGGTGATTTATTCACTCTTTATTAACAAATAAAAAATTATATTTTTGTTGTTGCTGCTGAAACAACTGTGGTCCTTGGTGTCTCATAAAATGTACGTCAAAGGCCACCAGCACTTTGAAAGTCAGAAAACATACAGGAGATACAAAACTTTAATTTTGCCTCCTGATGACACATTGAGGTGTATGGAGCAAAATGATTAATCTAAGCAAGGATTTTTCTGCATTTAGCCTATTGAAAAGTGACCGGAACTACATGTACAGTTACAAATAAACCACCTAGGCCAGAAGCTCAACATTGAGCAACATTTATATATATATATATATATTGTAAGAATCAGCTCTTTGGTTTAAATCATGTTTAAACTTTGGGGATTCGAATCAAAGATTCGAACATGATTCACATAGAAATATTTTAAGCTTACACTTAACGTAAGTATTTGTCCAGCAAATAGAATGTTTAGTGTAAAGCAGTTCTGTATTATATTATTACGTGGCCAACAATAACAATATAAAAACAGTATCTAATTATTTAATAAGCAAGGTAGCAGTATCTGAAGCTGAGGCATTAACTTATAAAGCACACAACACACCAACACGGATCTTAAAACGAAACAAAAGTTTATTGCTACTCTATAACACAAAGTACTAATCTACGTAAAACAAACAAACGCACATACATACACACACGCACAAGCAGTTTGAGGAGAGTTTTGACTGAGTGGATTTAACTTCTAGCCTTTGCTAAGTTCTTAGCATTGCAACCTGAGAGAAACCATAAAAGCAGAGAATTTCGCTATTCTTTACTACTTAAACATAATTCACACCAGAGTCAGCAATGGATAGAAACCTTGTTTGTGCTACTTGCGTTCTGATGTAATTTGGTTTCCTCGACTGGTCCAAAGGGAAATCCCGGCGAAGCTGATTGGTCAGCGTAGCAACTTCAGTGACGTGATGGAATTCCCTTGTCGGTGAAGAGGGGTTTCCTTAGTCGGTTGCTAGGGATACGGATGTTGGACAAGGCGGCGTTCGAAGTCCTTCCTGGGTTCCTGTAGTTATGATGAGTTTCGGAGTTTGGATGTGTTGACCCGATGGCTTGTTGTTGAAGCGGTTGCACAAGCAGATCGGGGGTCGAGCCGGCAGCAAGTGAAGGTCGCGGCCTGCTCCGTGATGTAACGAGGCTTCCGGCGAGGCGATGTAACGGCCACAGCACGAGAAGAGCGACGTCCGGGCAGCGACGGCGGTGACGAATGGCAAAGATGACCGGCAAAAGACGACGATGAAATTCCTTTGTTCAAAGTTTTATAGGCTTTGGTAGAGGCTGGGTCTACACAATGCTTGTCCAATCAGATAAGGTGCGGGGTGGAGTCACACCCCAATTCTGCCCTCTAGGAGGCCGGGTTGACACCTGGTGTGGGTGCTGCTTTGATAGCATAGTGGTTAAAATAAAGTCTTATAACGTCAACACTTTTCATAGTATGGTTTCTTCATATAAACCAATGCATTTAAAATGTTCCTAGCTTTCAATCGATACCAAACAAAGTATTTCACAAACATTCTGTAGATTTCATTTGTCACTGAGGGCTATTACTCAAGAACTATCTATAACAGTTTTGTTAAAAACATGGAACATGTACACACAAAAACCTACAGAAACATAAAGTAAACATACATTACTCAAATAAACTGTTTTACTTAAATGTCCATTAAACTTTGGAAGCGTTTCTGATCGCTTCTGTGTCTGCCTGAGAATGTGTATTCCTTGCAGACGCCAAAGGACAAGCGAACCAAAAGGTACTTCTCAAAAACCGGTTTGGTGGGTTTTTGATTGTAGAGCCTCTTATTGTTTTAGGGTGTAAAGTTAATTAACACGCAACTGTGATGTTGACTGGCTAGGTACCCTGTGGATTTGCCTTTTGCTGGGTGCCTGTGGATTGCTTTGAAAATGAAATCAATCTCAGACTCGTAGGCACCAACCAATCTTTTAAGGATAACATGGTCTGTGGCTTGTTCGGTTCTGGAACGATCCGTTGACTCCCCACAAT